ATATTTTCTCTCAGTGAAAATTACCACTGACAATAGCTGAGGAAAGGATGAAAGAGGCGGATGCCGAATGATGTGGATGTGAATGTGAATGTAAATGCGAATGCGAATGTGAATGTGAAATTCTTGCAGTGGGTCGGCGGTTGTTTAAGTGGTCCTTGATAAGCGGCTGCCAGCTTAAAACCGTAATGCGCTTTACCAACTTCACTTCACTTCAGCCCGTGTGTACAGTGCATATATATCTTTTGGTGTGCGCCGATCCGATACATATAAATGTACGTACTACGTATTGTTAAAAAAAAAAAAAGGAAAAGAAAAACCTCTTCGCGCTGCTGATGAAATATCAATATTGAAGCAGCGGAAATTTTAATTCGATAGTCGTGAGAGACAAGCTGGCATAAAAAATAAAAACTGAAAAACAAGGAAGAGGTATAAAAAGAGATTGCATTCACTGCTGTTCAGTTAGTGGAAGCGTTAAAAATGCCACTGATTTCGCCGATTTTTGTTGCTTTTCATTATTTATTTAATGGCATACAGGTGCATTTGCAACTGGATTCGTATGTTTTCCCATTAAGATGTGAAGAGAAAAACGCGCGGATTTATGTATTAATATGAGCTCTTTTAAGCAGTATTTTAAAATGCTTTTTGCATACACTCATGTAAATGGAAATTCGTAATGGGAACAATTATTACGCGTTTGTCAATTAAGTGCTATTCTATATTCAATTAAACAGCATTCATGAACCATAAATGCCATCTAGATTTAATTAAAATAATTCCAATCTAAATGGAAATGATTTCGTTCCATCGACATAAATAAATTTTTGTGTTATTGATATATATAAGTGCACATGTTATAAGCGGAGATTAGATTTCATATATAATGCAATAAGCTTACGTAGTTAATTGGTTTAATTGTATTTTGTGTGAAGTAAGGTAAAAAAATAAATTTGTAATAATTAGATTTTGTTATCAATATGTGTTCAAATCAGTTAAATAATTAAATTAGAAAGCAAAGTAGCAAAGTTAGTTTTCAACTAAAACTTTGAAAAAGTGTCTAATTTATTTAATACGTTTTTTTATTAACAAGCTGCAGCTTTTGTGTAAAGAGCCAACTGAATGAAGTCTTTCATATGTATTAATTAAACAGAAATGAAAAATGTTGTGCCCAAGTTGAGAAATAAAAAGCATTCTGTTTACTTAACAATTTGCCAGAAATAAACGTGTCGCTTAAAACTTACTTGTTGTGTTGACCCAACAAATGCACGGCAAACTTTGTCCAGAGCGTGGTTCTCTTTTTGCGGTCCAAAGCGAAAGTTGTTACAGTTTGTTAAGTTGCAATTTATGTTTCAGTTTTATAATATAATTTATACACAAAGTTGTACACCGTTGGTACATACATATAGCTGGGATATGGATGTGATGTGGTAAATGGGGTGTATGGGGTGTATGGGGGAAAACTTCAACCGACTAAAAGTCAATGTCACATGACACGCGCACGATTCACCAACACTAAGGCACTTTCGAGGCTTTACAGTTAGTGGCTAACAAGTTGGGAGCCACCAACTAGCAAACTGGCTGGTCGGTCGGTCGGTTAGTCGGAGTTCCAGGCCAGTTCCAGTTCCAGTTCCCGGCTGGCCAGACAATAAAATTTGCGCCATAAATCAATGCAGCTCTCTGCAAGTTTGCTGGCCGTCTCGTCGTCGTGGTTCCGTTGCAGAAAAGTCTGCAAGTGTCACCAGGCAGCAACTGCAACTGCAACTGCAATAGCAATAGCAACAACTGGATTCTGGCTTTTAGACCGAGTTATGTGTGTACGTCTGATCTTGGCCAGTCTGCTGCTGATGACTAAGATTTATTCGTGGCAACTGGCAACTGGTTACTGGCCACTGGCAACTGGCAACTGGCAACTGGCGACATCGGCTGCTGGCGGGTAACTGCACAAGGCCGACTGGCAGGATGAACCACGGAGCCTGTCCCGGCTGAAAATCACCAATGTTTTCCCATTTCTCATCCGAAAAAAAGGGGGTGGCATTGGCCGTGGCCGTGGCAGAAACACGCAAAAAACAACTAAAAAATAAATTAAAATCAGCGGGAAATATACCTATGTATATATATATATTTATATACACATACACTCATACGTATGCAAATTAAAAGGGAGTTGGAAATAAAAATGGAGCAGCAGCCATCAACCGCAGAACGCCGACTGCGCTGCCCTTTGCAATTTTTTCTAATGAACCGCGATTTGCGCTCAAGCTAAAAAAAAAAATATCAAAAAGCGGGGAAGTGCTCTCCGATTTTCAGAGATATTCCTATAGTTTTTACCCCGCTTCAAATGGAGTTACTTTTTGAGTCAAAGTAGCGAGTATGATGTTTCATGGTCCACGGTTACTTTTAACGTTTTTAAAGTATATTTCATGATTGCACATTACAATTTGTAGAACGCTATCACTTTCGATTTGTCATTACTATTAGTTTAAATTTATTCAAAGCAAAAGCCAAAATCATAACATATTTAACATTATATATTCTATATATTGCATATATATATTCTATATTCTATTTATATATACTCTATATTCTATATATATTCTATATTCTATATATTTTATAGATATAATATAGGTATAAAATTTTAGACCTTTTAATAACGCTGATTTCTATCTGCATTATCTTTTGGCTTAGATATAGCTTTTTAGCTTTGTTTTGAGTGAATAACAAAGACGTTCAAAGCCTCAGCACATTTTTTCCGCTTACTTTTTGAGTTGAAATGTTGAGCCGAAATACAAGTAAATCAAAGCGGCAGTGAAAAAAATTTACCTAGCAACAAAACTCACCAATACCAACCACCCACCCTTCGCCCAAAACAGCCCATGCCACCCCCTATTTTATATACAATTTATGTGCGCGCAAAAACAAAAAAAAAAACACCAAAAAAATGGGCAACAAGGAAAATAGAGAAATCAACATTTGAGCCACCCTGAAAAATGAGGGTGAATATACGGCCCACAGAACCGCCGGCATTTGGCCAAGAAGAAGAAGAAGAGCCGGCCAAGGCGGCGGCAGCGGAAAAAAAAGTGCTAAAAATCCAATATGGCCACAATTTGCCAAGCGAGATAGAGGGAGGGCGAGAGACAGAGAGAGCGAGAGAGAGAGGGAGTGAGAGAGAGACCGATAGAGAAAAAAATTGTACATGAAAATGTACTCGGGAGGTTTTTCCAACTTTTTTCTCCCCCTCCTTAATTTTTGTTGCATTTTTTCCCCAGTCGTTTTAATATTATTTGCCTTGGCAACGCAGAGAGACGAACTAAGTAAGTGGGTGGTAGGGGGCGGCTGCCGGGGGGTGGTGCGTGGGGCGGTGAGTGGGTGGTGGGTGGCTGTCGCGGCAGCAAGAAAGTGTGCGGGAAAAAAAAACTCCGCCCCCTTTTCAAGACGAGCGTCTGCGCGAAGGTAAAGTCGAAACGCTGGCAGAACGCCAGCAGAATCACCCACAGAGAGAGAGAGAGTCAGAGGGAGCGAAACAGAGAGAGAGAGAGCTCTCACTCACACAGATGGCAGCGGGCGCACACCAGCACACAAGTACCCCCACACAGATACACACACACACGCAAACACTCAAAGGGGCACCCATACGCGCGCACTTTGCCACTCAGAATGAGTAATTAAATGCTTATTAACGGCTCGCTGAGTTTTTTTTCGCTAGTCGCGCGCTATAATTAAACTCAGTACTGAGTGGAAGTGTTTCGCAGTATTTTGTAATTGCAACCCCTCGCATAGACTTCCATATATACATATATGTATAGAGTTCTCTTGAAACAAAAAAACAAAAACCCAACCCCCTAATATCGGCAGATGCAGTTTTGCGGCTTTTTGCAGTTCCTTCGTCACAGATACCGCCTTCATCTTGCTGCCATTTTGAAAACGTTATTGACTCAGAGGTAATAGAAAATTAAATGGGATGGTTGGGGTACAATTTACAAGAAATCTATAAGTGAGTTACAGGAAGTAGCAAATAAACAGCCATCAGCTATTAACTAGTTATGAAAATCATGATTTTTTAAAAGCATAACCATTTTTGTATTGCAATCAAAATAATCTCAAATTTAAGAATGAGTCAGAATATGTATGTCAGAATATCAAAATGTATATATACTAAGTATTTTTTCTAAGATATTTATTTCGAAATGTTGGTTGCCAACAGAAACATATTTTTCTTATAAAATATAACAAAATTATCAGTTTTTGTATAGATTGTATTATAGTTTTTATTTTTCTTTGCTCTTTTTAAACATACCAAATAAGAAACACAAAAGTCACGACAGCTGATTATAATTAAATCGACCACAGAGTTCAACAACCCCATACCACTTTTTTTATCAAGCCGTAAAGGCGACAAACTACTAAAATAAACTGTCTGCCAAACCTAGCCCATTTAATCTAAGCTTGCTCATATGATTTTAATCGAATTGTTTTATTTAAACTTTTTGTGTGACACATCTTTAACGAGGGTGCCATTCCACAGGGACACACCCAAAAACGTAATAATTATCCGGCCTATCAAATCCGAATAGTTTTTGGCGGCAATTAAAATCGCTTTATAATGGAAACGTATAAATAAATGCATAAAATGTATTTAATTAAGTTAATTGATTCTGGTCGAAATTGAACGCTTATTTTGCGGCTCATTAAAATGCCATTAAAATTAGTTTTTCGTTTAAATTAGTTTTAGAGTTATTTTACACTGGGTTCAAAGGGCCCGTTTTGGCCGCAGGCTTCATTTAGTATGCGGCATTTATTATTCAATTAGAAATATTATTATGTGGATTTGGATTTTATGCTGAGAGAATTAGTGGATATTTTATAGCTAATTTATTTTAAACGTAATGCCAAATTAAATTTGTATTCATGTTGTGCATGGGAATATTGATTTTATGCGTAAAAGTGTTTATATTCCGTAGAAATACATTTTAAATCAATTTTCCGCTCTCCTCACCACTCACCTCTTAAATTCCTTGCGAAAGCCATAAAAATTCCCAGTTCTTAATTAAGCATCAATGCGAGCACTTAATTTGCCTTTTGGCCCTTTGCCACTGAAATGCCATTCGAATTCCGTTCGAATGACTCATTATCAATTGTCCTTTTTCCACCGAAATGGCATTACACTGATTTCCATAAAAATTGAAACTCTCAAGGAGGCACACAAACGCACAAGGGAATCGAGAATTAGGGAAAATTTATACTTTCATCCAGGAAAAACCCTTTTTTTCCCCAGCACTCTTTCCCATTTATTTTGCTGGTTTTCTCTGGCCGATTTCCACTCAGTTGTCTCGGCTTTTCTCTCACTGTTCAAGGCGGAGGACGCGGGCAAACTGTCGCTAAAAATGTGGAAAGTTGGCATCAATTTTTGGAGGACTACAACAAGACAGAGGCCGAAAGCTGCGTGCCATAATTCTCCCTTCGCCGCTCAAAACTTGTTCAAATTCAAATTGGTTAGGCGCAAAGGGTTGAGGCCAAGGGATTTCATTATAATGGGTTGAACGAGAGAGTTTTGTTTTTGCGGGGGGTTGGTTGGTAGCCACTTCCAAAACACCAAAACGCGAAAAACAATAACACAAAATGCGTCACGCACAACAGAAGCAGGACTCCGAGTCGCGAGTCCCTTGGAAAAGTGCGTCATGGCCTGAAGAGCACTCATGATGGTTCAAATCGTCGCTGTGTGCGTGTGTGTGTGTGTGTGTGTGTGTGAGTGCCGGAGAGTGTGGTCAGCGAGGAAGTGTCAAACGTTTAAAGGGTTAGAGGCAAGGGTTGACATTCCCGTTGGGGGTGCAGCAGGGGGATGCAAAGTGCCACAGGAAGCGACTAAGTGCCAGGCAGATGCACAATAGGTGGGTTGGGTTAATGTCCTTGTACAGTGGACGCCTTTTAAAATGAGTTTCGAATAGGATGTGATCTAATATGTGAATAATGTAAAACTTTACTTAAAAGCATTAAACTACTGCAATTAACTATTTAAAGAGTTTTTATGTTGCGGAACAGTTGTTCTTAAAAAAGTGTCGGTAACAATTAAGCCAGTGGTTTATTCACAAGAAAATTATTATTTATTGGTATTTATTACCCAAAACGAAAATAAAAGAGTTCTCTGGTATATAATAGTAAATTATTGATTTAGTTTTTATACAAGTGCACCTAATAAATATCTTGCAGATAATCACTGTTTTCCCTCCACTGTAAAAGACATTAAATAAAAAGAGCCAAAGCCTATTTACCCAATAAATCTGCTTGAGCTAGTTAAAAATTGAAAACAACTCTGGTGAATTTGTAGCCTGCGGCCTTATACATATATTTTTCTAAACATTGCAGTGATCATTGATCATCTGCTGAATTTTTCTACCTATAGCGATATAATGAGAAACCAGTTCTACAATCGCAGATAAATAAAGGGTTAACTAAGGGTTGGGTTTTAAGGGTATTAAGCCAGAAAGGTGGTCGCGGTTAGGTCAGAAAACTTCAAATTTGAATACGTACAAAGCAGCAGTGACGTCATGCAAATTTACAAAGCGGAATTCTGAAATACTTTAATGTAAATACTTTAACTTTAATTACATATCTTCATTAAAACGTATATTAACAGTTTTTGCTAACACATAGTAACATTAAAAGTTAAATCCACTCACTCAGCGACTAAAAGGGGAAATGAATACCACATTTCACTCGCTCGCGATGTTTGCGATGTGTTCGTGTTGAGTCACTTGCTCGGTTTTTAGACTCCGCCCCTTTTTGTATTGTTTTGCTGGCTGCTCAGTCGATGTGCGATGTTTTCGTTGTGAGTGGAAACTAGCAGCGGCGATGTTTGCGTTGTGAAAAGAGGGGAATCGTATGAGTCTACGTTTTGTTGCCGAACAGATTTTTCTATGTTTCTCTATTGTGTGTAACTGTTCCCATTGAAGGGGAACTGTACCCAGATCCTTGAAGCCCTGATAGAAAACATCGCTTAACGCCTGGGGGATGAAATCTCAGCTAAAAATTTCAGTGATTTTGGTTATTGTCGGTACTAAAGGGCATATTCCTTTTTCGGCCTTATATTTATTATTAACGTTCATAGCTGACATTCTCTTACTTAAAATTAGATTCCCTGCTTGTTGGGACTATAAATCCTTTCAGTACCGCATAGTTTAAATTAAAAAACTGCTTAGTAATTGCTGTCTTAAATTAACATAATTGATGTGCGTGCCTCCAGAGATATTCCGTCTCTCGGTTGGATTTGCCCCCATGAATGGCCCACAAAAGCCCAGCAGGTGGTCGTTGATTCTTTCCGTTCGAAGACGAAACAGCAGGAGAAAATTCGCATTGATTCTCATTTGCCTTGCTTACTCCCGACTGCCAAATCCAATAAGCATTGAACAAATTTGCAATATGCGAATCTGCTGCATCACTCCCGATTAATTGATTTTATGTGCCGCGTGTTTTCTCTGTTGCAGGAAATTGCCATTAAAGTGTCGGGCATCGGAAAATGGAAATTGATTCGCATTCGTCTATCCCCTCTCCAGGGGTTACACACTTTTGGACTTTAAATTTAATCATTTTTTTTGTAACTTAAAAGAGCAGTAAACGTGCTGCATGTGTGCTGTCAAAAATGATATCTGATATTTATATTTATATTTTTTTTGGAGATATGTTCACTTTTTTACGATTGTTTTTAAATGGTTTTTTTTTTATTGCTTCTTCCAAAGAAATGCGCAAACAGAATTGTTGAGAAAAAAAATCTGTGATATCCTGTCTATGCATCCTTCAAAGCGACATCTATTGGATTAATCGGTCACATTGGGAATTCATCCTCTAGTGGTAAATAATGTCGGTATAATTTTATTTGAAGGACATTAGAAAGTGGTGCGGAACTTTGCTAGCGCGGCACAGTGGTGTTAGAATTGATCAACTATTGAACGAATTTGGTGATTTGACCTTTTTACCCTTCAGTCATATTTGAATCGAATTCGTCCCGCCAATAAGTAAAATTGTTATGAGTTTTCCATTTATTTTAGCAATACACACATCATATTAGATAAATATTTTCCATTTATAAATAATATTTAAAATTACTAGATAAAGGTACATAATTTCATTTATTACATAAATAAGAACTATCTATTATTTCCCACTTTTGTTGTCCATTTACCATTGCCATTGTAAAGATGTCTTGCTAATTGTAAGAATTTTTAAATTTACTTTACATAATTTTTTGCTATAACAATTAGTTAAATGTTTTTAAACAATTTGTACTACCTATTGTAAGTAATTACATAACATGTGCCGCTGCATATTCATAATGTAACGCTTCATTTAGTTTTGTAAAGATAATCCCTTAGTTTTCCGCTGCGGTATCCTGTATCCTGTAGCCACGCCATCCTGTACCTTTACCGTTAATCAAGTGGATATAAAATCCGCAAAAACAAATGAACCGTTATCAATTGCGTAACGGCTGCTCGTCCTTGCACAATTTTCGCAATTAAACGCGACCATGCAAATGCCAGGATCAAGATAGAAAGGCAGCGATAGGCAAAAAAAGGGTTGAAGGTCCTTGCTGAGCGCGTATCTCTAAGATGCATCCAAAGGTTGTTGAACTCCTCGGGTCGCGGGATATCCGAAACGGTTTTATATCTTCGAGGAAAGTGTCCGACGCGATCCGATCTCAACCCCTTTTTATAAGTTTAACGTTTAGGGGTTAAACAAATATTTGATACATTTTGTCTGTGGGGTGAAGGGGTACCTATTCTAGACCATTCGATACTTTAAGACGCTCAGAAGATTCACTTTCGAATGTAATGTATTATATTAGTTCTAATCCAATAACAGCAAAGCCTTATCTTATGCTAAGAATTATTTTATTTTATTTGCATAATGTTTTAATCATATTTGTGTAGGCAGTAGTGTTGTATATAAATCCTTTTAAAATCAACTAATGTGTCTTAGTATAGAATATTTAAAGATTATAGGATATTTCTTCTCCCGCATTTTATGTCAAGTTAAAGTTCAAGCAAGATTTTATGAGTTGGTAATTTAACGAATTAAAACATTCACCTTATCACTTCAAATTCGATATGTCTTTCAACTTTATGATGGTCGACAGTCCTCCAAGAGCACGGTATTAAGTTCCTACGACTGAATAGGAACGTAGGAACTCTATACCTCGCTGATGGTAAAAAGACTTCGGTTTTTTTATTCGGTTGTCACAGTTCACTTGGTTACACTGCACTTGAAGTGTCTACTTATCTGGCACTTTTTCGGTGTGTTTGACTTGTCAGTGCTAAGCTGCAATTAGAGTCATAAACGGATTATGTTTGCCAGATATTGGCTGGGCTCAATAATGAAATTGGCTGCCAATACTTTCGGCAAATATCAAAGTCCCAAAAGAGTCTGCCAGACTCTTCGACGTGCCCATCCTTTCCATCCATTGGCTTTCCTTTCGGCGGCGTCTTAAAATTTTATGTTTGCACATTAGCTGGCGCCGTCTCCGTTACTCTGCAGAAAAAAAGCAATGCAAAAAGGGAATGTAAGTAAAGTTGTAGATACTTAGGCTAATGCATTAGCCGCAAAAAGTATGGGTATTCCCCAGATACAGATACAGATACAAATACCGCATATATACCCAGGCGTTGGCATTTATTTGATTTGCACTCGAGCCGATGGGAAACTCAAATTAAAATCATTTCAACGGCTGAATTAACCTTGGAGAATTTTCCACCCGCACTTAGATACTTGTTCCTATATCGAGAGTGTCACTCCCCACACGCTAATTACCGCCTGTAATGCTGAAAAAGTAATCGACTTGATTGATTTATCTGACAGAACTACACAAGTTGACATTTCGAGAAGTCGACTCTTTAACGCCCACCACAACTGCAAACTGGCAACTACAAAAGCACTTGACTGCACACAAATTATCATTTGAATTATATGCAAAATAAATGCATTTGATTGCCAGCCCAGCCATGTTGTAAACGTATTCGTATTTGTATATGTATCTGTATCTGTAGTCGACTTACCATGTATCCGAGTACTAAGTATCTGCTGGATACGTTCGCTCCACGTTGGTAACCACCATGATTTGCATTTAGTTGCTGCCATTTCAGATTTGACTGTTAATTCCCTGGCCCCTCTGCCATTTGTCTGCCAGCGACGTAAATCAATTTGGTTTTGGCTTATGCTTCGGATTTGGCTTTGGCTCTGGCTCTGTGTTCAGCTTTTGGTCTAAGGTAGCCGAGTAAATGTTTAGCCGCCCGCTGAGCCAACACAGCAGATATTTAATATGTGCTCCCTGGGATGTCACGAGAGCAGACCGCCGGGCGAAAGCTTCACTGTCGCAAAAAGTGACACCTGCAGAAGGCAGCTAAATCATGTGCAATATTCCAAACTAAGAATACAAAATATAGTAGGAACCCTTAAAAAGTTTGTAGGTAACGCCTAGTGCACTGAGCTGTAG